CATCTACGCTCTCAGCAGCAGACTTCTCCCAGCCTCCCATACCCCTCAACTACCCTTTCCTATTTTTCTCATTCTCTTCATTTTTCTTTAGTCTCTTTTCTAATACCCATTTCGACATCAGACATCCCCACTTTCCCAACCATCCTACACTTCCCCCCTTCTCAACCCAGCCGTCCAGGCGGACGACAACGGCGTGTCCTCATCCTGCTGTCCCATAGCAACAAGTTTTGCATTGATCTACTCTTGTTTCTGCTGTCTTTCTCGTTTAAATCGTCATCCGAAGCCGCCGTTGTCGTTGTCGTCACTCTCTCCGTCGTCATCAACGCCATTATGGTCTCCGTTTCAGATTTTTGCATGAAAGATGATGAGTACGAGGTTATTGGTCATCTGCAGTATGATGTTCTGTTGCAGCTTAGCTAATATCGCGTTCCCATCCACATGTCACACCGGACAATCCCATCCTTTCCTCCATTTTTTTTCCTCTCTCTTTCTCTCTCCCTCTGTATATCTCTCTTTCACATATTCTTTTGTCATTCTCAACACAACTTTTTTTTTGTTCTGTTCATTCTTCAAAGCAACATCATCATAGCATTTTCTTCCTCTTTTTATGTATTTTTCATTCAAGTAACATCATCCGGCAGTTGGTAGTCGGTCATATTCTCATTGGGTTTTAGGGACTATATTTTCCTCTCGGCATATGCGCATCTTTTGCATTGTCCTGTTTTGCCTCATCGTTGACACTCTCTTGATATTTATGTTCTCTTCATACTCTTCACCTATCTATCATCTCTCTCATAATTACTCTCTATTTGTCTGTGATTCGTTCTCTTTATCTTCTTCTATCCATAGTCTTTCTTCATCTATCTTCATTTTCTTTTCATGTCATTTTCTCTCTGGAACAATCCCACTGGTACGTATCATATGACCTCCTATCGAACTATGTTGCCATCGGTTCTCCGTTCGTCTGAACAGCGGTGATCTATGCTCTGATCGTTCTCGTCAATAAAGCCATCAACTCGATGGCTTTAATAACTTCTCCATCAATCTATTCAGCTTCTCCTTTTCTTTGAATATGTTAAAACTGAATGTCATTCGAATTCTGATGAGATTCTTGTCAGCTATTTAGCTTCTTTCATGCTTTTGTCATTGTTTCTTCTCATTTCTGTTTCTGCAAATAACTTATAGCAATCCTGTGCCAAAGCTCAATCGTTGTTCCTCAGTTTGTCTCGTCTGACACTTCTTTCTATCCATTGCCTTCGTCTCTCTTCCTCTTTCTCTATCGCAACGATTTAACCACGAACTCACGTGAGTCCTCGTCTCCAACCTGCTCGCTTTCTTCCAAACGACTTTTCCCTCCATTTTTTTGTCTCTCTCTCTTTCTCTCGCATTGTGTATGGCGTGTGTATGTGTGCTCAGTCTACCATATACGGTCATGCTGTTCAGCGGTCAGGCGACCTCGTTGGCTTGTCAACGACGTTCAGCTGGCGAAAAAGAGGTAGATGGAGTGACGAGTAAGAAGAAGAAAAAGAAGAAAATATATGAGATAGGGAATGGATAGAAATATTCTGAAGTGTCTCAAAAAGCAAAAGAGAGTAGTAGAATTAGAGAGCATGAAAGAGAGAGAGAGAGATAGAGTGTGGGAGGGAAAGACCACCAACCAAGTCGTTCGTTTGTTTCGTCCTGTCCCTTTTCCCCTTATATGGTGGTGATGCAGTTGAACAACATGAGCGGAGCGACATCTCGTCAATCTGCGCCATCTAAGCTTCTAGTATTTTCCTTTTTCATATATTCTAAGCTTTGAACCTTTTGTCATTTCATTCTTCATGATCATCGTTATCATTAGATAGAGATGCGGCTGCCAGTGGTCATCAAACGAGCGTGTTTTGTTCAATTTTCATCATCATCATCATCACTCTTCAGACACCTCTTTTCATTTCGTTAATATTCGTCTTCGTTTTGTCTTTTTTCTGTTCCTTCTCCTTCTCCTTCATCATCATCATCATCATCATCTCAATTCTTGCGTCGTTCATTGCAAACATATTTCTCAATGGATTAACCGTGAAGTTCTTTTGTCGTCGATCATACATCTCTTTGTGTGTGTGTTTTCCTTTATCTTCTTATACAAATCCTTTGATAAATTCTCCTTTTTCTCATAAATTAATTGAATTTTGTCTTTCATTTTTGAATCTTCTTCTGACTCAAATTTCACTGACTGCCAGCTTTTCTCTCTCTTTGACTTCTATTCATCTCTTTAGTCATCTTCGTCGTCGACGTTGTCGTCGTTGTCGTCGTCTATTTCGTCATCATCGTCTCATTCTGACCTCCCAACCACCAACTCTGGTTGTTCATGTTTCTTCCGATTTATGTCATCATCATTTCATACTTCATTTACGAATTAAGAATAACTGAACCTCGTTCATCCTTCATTTTTATTTATAAAAACACTCCTCACTAACATACACACAAATACACAGAGAACGTTCTCTCAGCACCCATTCCCCCCCCTCTCCTCCTTTTCCATCAATTATCGACTGTCAACCATTTCTACATTGATCAAAACTCTTTTGTGCTATTGATTATCCACCCTCCACACTCTCCTCTCTTGCTCACACCAAATCACTTTTTTTTTATAAAACGAACACTTCCATCTCTCATTGTGCAAATGGTGAGATAGGAACGTATAGAGACGGCTTACAGCTACTCACATATACAATCTGTCTGAGGTGGAGCTTTCGACCTTCAATTACAATCGTTTTTTGTGATCCTTCCACCTACCCTCAATTATCCTTTTTTTCTTCTTTCTTATTGCTTCTTCTTTTTTTTTCTCTCCTTAGATGGTCATAATATCGATTGTTTGTTCGTTCTCAGTCTGTTCCGCGGGTCTTTCTCTCGTCATCCTCTCTTGTTCCTTCTCGTCCTCCTCCATCTACACCTCCTCCTTCTTCTTCTTCTCATCGTTGTCGTTGAACTTCTTCATTTTCTTCTAATACCTCAGCGTCCTTCTTTATCCATAAACCCGCTCATTTTCCGTTTCTTTGAACAAAATGATCATCTGGTGTCTGATTTTGATGATACTGTTCGACCTTTCACTGCTCGTCGTCTAGTCTAGTCAGCGTTGTAAGTTACATAGTTCAACGAAACAGACGAACAAGCATTGATTTGAGTTGCATCGAAGTGTCGTCGTTATTTCATTCTATTCACTTACTCACGTGCTATTCAATGGCCAATCCTCATAATGGATATGGACAAGCTGCATAAGTTTGGCGTTATCCAAGTACATGCATGTATGGCTTCTTCATTCTCCTCATATTCGTCCTCTTTTTCTCCTTTCCGACACACAACAGTAACGACGACAATAAAAAATAGTTGAAAGACGCGGCACAAGGCTATGCCATGGAAAACAATGATGACGACGACTATGAAACTACGAAAGAAGCGATTCCTTTGCGTTGTCCCCACACTAGCCTCTTTGGCCATCTTCTTGCAACCTCCATCCGCTTCCAAAACTACTCTCAGTCTCTTCATCTGTCCTATTCCTTTTCTCCCTTGACTGACTCATCTGCTGCTCGTTTTTCATTGTTTCGTCCTGGCCTCCATCGCCATCACCGTCGCCGCCGCCGCCACCAGCAATACCACCAACAGCAGTTACTCCCCCTCTTAGTACTCTGATTCTCTCTCTCTCTCTATCCCCCCTCCCTCTCTCCCTCTCTCCATCGCATCGTGTATTGAACTGTTTTACTCTCTCTCTATCTCTTTCTCATCCTGCCTCTTCAGTCTGTCATCATTTTTTTGACTATCTCACTATCTCTCCCTTTCCCATAGTGTATTTGGTGTGGTTGAGTCGTTGACTCTACGACCTCCCACTCATTCTATGTTTCAGTCAATCCGTCCTCTGTCTGCCTTATCCTCTCTTTTCTCGTTCGTCGCCCTTCCTTCCCTCTGGGTCTAGTCATTCATTGGATGTATATTGCAATCGTTTTGCTATCAATTGTCATTTGCAGTCTATTTATGTTCATTTACTTATCTCTTCTCATCCCCACCGAACTTGCTCACACATTGTCGTCTCCCTCATTCTCCCTCTGTCTTTCTCTGTCTAAACGAAATATCTCAGATTAAACAACATATTTGTCGCATTTCCGTTGTTCAGCATATCGAAGACAAAAAAAGGAGCTCACTTATCTGAACCTCCTAATTTCTCTCCTCCTACATCATCATATGTTATGTTGGTTATTAACTTCCCATATCTATATTTATTATTTCAATTTCACATATCTTCATCTACTTCATCTTGTTCGTCGTCTTCATCTTCATCATATTCTTCATCTTCATCTTATTCTTCCTCTTTCATATTTGTCACCACTTTTTTTGTTCTCAAATAGTTTTGCTTCCTTTTTAACGCCATGTTCCGTTCATCAATAGACACGCTGCCCTTCTATCCTCCTCAACCGACACACACCGCGACCTCATTTTTCTTATTTTGTCTCGCAATGATCCTCTACCATCATAGCTTGTGTTCCTTTCCGTTTTGGTATCTTTTACACAATGTATTATATTTATTTTTTGTTTTTTATTCTAAACAATTCCTTTTCTCTGCTATTCTATTCTCGTATGCTGTTTGTTATAAGGAGGACTCAATGCATTGCTTGTTGGCTTGTCGTTGATCATGTTATCACTTTATATGCAATTATCGAATGTTCTACTGATATGTTTGATTTGATTACAAGTTATTTGATGATCTCGTTGACTATAAACGGCATACTTATCAGCTTTAATAATTATTTTTGTTTGTTTTTCTGTCATTTTGCTTGGAAGCGATATGTCATCACGCTGCTCCACTTATTGCTACCTTTAATCCTGATTTTTGTTCTTCTTCTCAGCGTTTCTTTTTGTTTCTCTATCTCCTACTCTCTCACATTTACATATTTTTTTTTCAATCTGTTCTTCTTCTTCTTCTCTTTGCCATTCGCTTCTCATCCATTCCTATTTCAGTCAGATGTAATATGGGTGATCAAAACGCGTTGCTTCGATTTTTGGCTGCTCAGGTCACTCAACAACAGCAGCAACAGCAGATTTCAGCTGCTTTATCAGCCATAAATGGCTTATCCAACAATACATCAGCCTCATCATCAACGAATTCTTCTGCTAACTCTGTTGCTGCTGTAGCTGCTGCCATAGCTGCTGCTGCTTCAGCTTCTTCCTCAAATTCGACAACTAATGGCTTGTCTAATGCTGGATCTGTCTCAGCGGTTAATGGCACGACACCACAACGAAACGGTCAGCGTAATGCTTCCGCAGCAGCCAATGGATCAATGAATCAGTTACAAGAGTTGTTGCTTTGGCAGATGATTGCAGCTCAACAAGCTCAGGTGAGTAATGTTCTTTTCGCTTTTTTTGATTCCTCTTGAAGTTTGTGTTCATATGAATATTTTATAGGCACAGCTTCTCAATATGCAACAAATTCAACAACAGACTCAACAAAGCTCACAACAGTCACAGGATCAGAGCCAGCGACTCGAGTGGCTTCAGAAGGAGCTCATCCCAAAAGAATTGGCACGACAACAGCAGAAACTTAAGCAACAGCTTGATGACCAACAGAAGCAGCAGCAACAACAACAGCAGCAGCAGAAAGCTTTCGATGATGTGATACGAAAATTAGCTGAAACGGCCAAGAACGGACAAACAAATGGACAAAGTGAGTTTTGATTTCATTCTCTTCGAGTGCAACCGTTCGCTACATACATGTTCCATCATTCTATATCATTTCATTCTTACTCATAACGTATTGATAAGGCTTTTACAACTGCTTCTGTTCCTTTACTAAGCAGGTTAAGCAAAGCTCTCTTACTAGCTTGTAAATGAGATGCATTGATCACTTTCGAGTAGTACTGTTTACCCAAATCCATTCTAGCTCTCTCTCTGTCGTTAGTTTTTAATTGTACGTTTCGTGCTTGAACTAGTAATATGAATAGAAATGAGTTCATATTTTTCTGCCATTCTGTATTTCCTTGTTATTGACTATGAGAAACTGTTTGCGAATGAACGTGAAAGCCCAGATGGTCAACACGCAATCTGTTCTGTTCAATCTTCGCTTCACTGACATGCCATTCTCTCATTTTCTCTAATTTGTGTTATGTTTCTCTGATTCTATTTGTAATTTAGACAATTTGGCTTTTTCTTTCTTCTTTTTTTTTGCTGCACTTGCTGTGTTACATTATGATTCATTGGCTCGACTCAATTAACCTACAACCTCTCTTCATTAAGAAATTTCTTTGATGTTTGTAGTTGTCATAGACCAGACAGAAAGAGAGAGAGAGAGAAAGACTAACTGAGAATCAACCCCCTTTCCTATGACGTCGTTTTAATCGTTTTTGATATTTTGCTCTTTCAGCTAATGGACGTGTTTCTTCAACTCCTATAGATAAGCCTAGCACATCTACAGGAGCAACAGCTACTATCCGAGAAGGCGCAGAAATCAAATTAGAAAATGGTGAAACGCCTAAGAAGAGGTTTAATTCATTTGTATTTTGGAAGCTTATTCATAATTTGTGTTTAGCTCTCCTCCTAAATCTGCTGCCAACCCCTTCAACAAGAATGCCATCGACGCTGCTATGTGGCAATTACTGGCAGCTCAAATGCTCCAACAACAAAATGTTTTGAAAAATGCAACGTATGTGACCCTACAATATGAGAGAGAGAGTAATGAATACTTATATTTACAGATCGAAGCAGAACAAAGTAACAATTAAAAAAGATCCATATTCTGCCGGTTTGGATATAGCAGCGAAGATCAAAGCTGAACAACAAGGTACAGTCGAACCCCTGAAGACGTGTGACAACATTGTTTTCGTTTCAGCTCAAACCACTAAATCTGAAAACATTAATAGTACTGTTATAAACTCATTTGCTCATCTAGATTCTTCTGATGCCAACAAGAAACGTCTTCCGGCTACAGAGACTCAAGCTAGAATTCCTCTAGGACTTGGTTGGCGGCGTCAAACCTGCATTCGAGCTGTGACTGCTTCTGGTGTTCGCGGAGATGTTATCTACTACGCTCCTTGCGGAAAGAAGCTGAGTACCTATGCTGAGGTTCTGCGGGTTTGTTGGAAGTATTATACAGCTTTTAATGTTGATTGTATTTAAGTACTTGATAAAGAACAATTGCGGACCAATAACGAGAGACAACTTCTCCTTCAGTAGCAAGCTCATTGTCGGTGAATTCATCTATCCCAAAGATAGTGTTGATGGAGAGAAGGTAACCTTTCATCTTTATTTCTTTCCAACCAGTGTTTCTTTTAAGAGAATTTTCAAACTAACCGAAGAAGAAGTGAACGATGAAGTGAACAAGCTAGCTAGTCTCAAGTCACAGCCTCGAATAACTGAAAAGAAGTTCCGAGATGTGAAAGACCGAGCTTCTTCCCCCGATGAAGATGAATTCGTTGAACCCGAAGAGTATCTTGCTCCCAAAGGTTTTTATGATGATGAGGAAAAGGTCAAATGGAGTCGAGAGCCCATCGATGATCTGCTACTCACTGAAATTAGGGTTAGTAGATCTATTTTTGTTTCTTTATATTATGTTCTATTTATAGCCATTACCCGAAATGCAGAGGATACCAAACCTTCAGCTTAAAGGCGAAGGCTTTGCTGATGCTCTCATGGTTTACGAATTTATCAAAAACTTCGGAGTTGTTCTCAAAATAGGTAAGCTCATATTCCATTTTCTATAATTAGTTCATCTCGAACTTTAGACGTTGATTCAATGCCTCCTCTTGATGAGTTTTGCGCCGGCCTAGCTGGGGACTTGCGATACTCTGCTGCTGTGCTGGACATTACCAAAGTTCTTTTCACCTTAGCTCTCGAGTTCCCTGGATTTCCTGTTGGCAGGAAAGGCCAAAATAGTCTTGGAATGAATATGAACAATTACAATCTGACGCGAGAGAACTTCTCGTTGGTTCTAATGCAGTTTCTGTCAAGTCGAGATGAACAAGGCCAGAAATTAGCAAAACTCGTAGAGAATGAGGAGTTCGAAACATTGGTCGGTGAGGACAAAGCATCCATTCTTGCTTTCCTATGTAATGAATTGCTGTGCTGCCGGAATATTGTTAGAGAAATCGATTCTAACTTGGATGAAATCGGAAAACTGAAAGGTGATCGATGGCTACGAGATGGAAAAGTGAGTTGTTTGGAGTGAATGATGGTTTCGTATAATGTGAATATTACAGGCACGTGCTCTGAAAGCTCATCAGAAGCGTCGGAAAAGGGAGTTGAAGAAAGATCATAAGGAGCACGATGAAGATGGCGAAGAACGTCCAGCTAGTCGAAATTCTGATTCTGAAGAAGATGAATCCACCGTCCATCCTAACAACAAGAAGCTCACTCCTGGACTTGGACAAGTAGAAATCTTGACTAACGAAGAGGAAAACATGAGCGTGGAAGAATTAGAACAAGTGATAATCAATCTGAAATTGGAATCAGACGATTTGAAAGATGAAATCAACAAACTGGCCAATCGAGTTCGATCATTTCCGTTTGGTTGGGATAGATATCATCGTCAGTACTGGCAATTACCTCATGTTCCGACAATCCTGGTTGAATCCATTGAGTCCTGTGGACTTAATAATCCTGCTTGTAATATTAGTGAAACTTGTGACAAAGATCCTGATAGTTATGAAAGTAAGCTTTGATACATTGTATTTGAGAATTCATCATGAAACCTTTGCAGCTTCGAACTACTTGGATCCTGATGTCTATTCGTGTTTAGAAGATCTCATAGATGAAACAGCTTTAATGCGGGTGAAAATTGATAAGAAGCATAAGAAGAAGATCAGGAGGTTTGACAACTCCTTCAAGCGTGGATGGTGGATGATCGATTCGAAGTATTTGTTTTTTCCCAGTCTCTTTCTCATGTTTCTTCTTTTTCAGAGAAGTTCTCGAAAGTGTAAGGAGCAGCTTACATGGTCGTGGAATTCGTGAACGATGTCTTCATCGACTTCTATGTAAAAATTGGTTTATGAAAGACATTCGAATAGGTCAATGTAAGTATTCTAGATTACTGACGTTGTTCATGAATCATATTTCAGTTGAGTTATTAGCTCCCAGTCGGTTGCTGACGAAAGCGGAAATAGAAAAGGATGCCGTTCATCGGTTAGAATCTGCTATTGCTAGGATGGAACATCAAGTTTTCAACTATCAAATTACTTCTTCGGATTGGAAGCCTCTCTCTGAAAAAGATTCTGTTGAACCAGCTGGAAGCTCTGATGAGCCTTGGCGCTTCAACGAAAGCCTCTTAGACGATGACGATGCCTCGTCTTTAACTTTGGATGATCTACGTACAAGAATTCTGGACTGTGAACAAGCGATTGACAATCGCTATTTCGAGCCCAGTTTCTTTGTTGGTTATATGCCATCAGCAGCTATCATTCTTGGCTTGACAAGCTCTGACGAATCCTCTGAAGCTCATGGTTCCCCAAATGGTTCCGAAGGAAAGTTGGAAATAAAAGAGGAATCCACTGACGAGAAGATGGATGGTCATGAGGAAAGGATGGAAGACGATAAGTGCTCGGAGCATTCTAAAGGAGATGATAGATCAAGCGAAACAAAAGAACAGTTGATTGACAAGTGGAGGCAATTCGTCGAAGAGGCAACAACACCTTCTCAACTCATGATGGCTGTTGAAGTAAGAAATTCATTGTTTAATGTTTCACACATATGTCTTACAGTGTCTGCTTTCATCTATAGCTTGGGATAGATCAGTGGTTGAAGCGATTTGCCAGATCTGTAAGAAGCTTGGTGCGCCTGAAGTTCTTTTACATTGCGTTGGATGTCAGCGTGGATATCATTTGAGATGTTTCCGAGTATGTTACACTTCATAGTTATCGAAATGATAAATTATTTTAGCCTGGCATGGACACTTATCCTGAGTCTTGGTTCTGTCCTCGGTGTAAAGAGCAAGCTTCTGGTAATCCACATTGCGTGTTCTGCGTAAAAGACGGAGCTCCTATCTACCCTTGTCGTGTTTGCCAAAACTTTTACCACATCGAATGCTCCAAACAACATACACCGGATCGTCCTAGTGATTTTGTTTGTCTGTTCTGTGATGATAAGGTTGGCTATAATATTGGTCGTTTAAATCTCATACTCTTCATTTCAGGATCTCACCGAGAGTCACCGAGTTGTTTTACGGACTGAAAGTGAAGAACCCAAGGAGAACGAAGAGGTTCCTCATGTTGAGGAATCCTCAGGCCAGAAAGATGCACGCAAACCTCAAAAGAGGAAAGCTGATGGTCCACCTCCAATCGTTTTCCCTCAAGAAATGGCAATGGATCTGTGTCGTACAATGCTCGATGAAATAGAGCTGCAGCCAACAGTCGGTCCATTTTTGGAGCCTGTCGACACTGATCTGGTTCCGGGTTACAAAGAAACTATCCCTAACCCTATTGATATTTCAACAATAAGGAACAAAATTGATAGTCAATGGTGAGTCTCTCAAAAACAGTTTTGATACTAAAACTATGATTACAGTTACGATTCGCCGGACGATTTTGCCATTGACGTAGAGCTGATGTTCACGAACTGTCGTACATTCAACGAAGACAATTCTCCTGTGGGTGTTGCCGGTATGTCTTACTTCATGTGCTTCTGTTATAGTATTCTGATTCAGGTCAAAACTTGTACAAATTCTTCCAAAAGCGCTGGAAACAAGTGAAATACAACTACAGCAAACGATTACGAAGAATGCAGGCGGCTCAAGCTTCCAACTAGTCCGCTTTAGGTTGAAGTTTCCAATCTTTCCCTCTTAGCACTTTTCTCAATTTGCTCAAATCTACGATCTTTGTTTTGTTACTTTAAGTTGTTTTTTTGATATTTTGATTACTTGAATGTTACTGTTGACTCTGTTGATACAGAATTCAAATGATGATCATTGCCATAAGTGGATATCATCATTTCTATAATGTAAAATAGGTTCCGATGGACAGTTATTTTATCTTTAAGCTGATACGGGTTCAGTTCTGAGAGCTGAACCGTTGTGTTCTTTCTCATCTTACTCTCTCTCTCTGTTTGTGTCTCATTCTTTGAATTTCTCCTCCTGTGCCTTTTTTTTTAACTTGTTTAACTCAAATCTCATCTCAACTGACTGTCGGAGTCGTCTGACTGACACAATTGCAATGTATCCTGATTGTCGACTGCTCCTATGTTCCAATCATGTTCAACTTGTGTTAGCTTAGCACGGCATTACTGACTTTAAACTCTCTTGTTCTCATGAAATTAATTTGTAAATATTTCAAATCCTATAGAAAACTATTTTCGTAATCTAATTAGTCATATGTTACTAAGTATTCTTGTACATTCCTTGCTGCTTATAATCAGGCGATTTGACTTGAACATATATATCTCTTCAATACTGGTTGTTTTACTTTGAATGAAATATTCTCCAATCATATATCTCTTGTTCATATCATCTGAAAATGGTTGACTCTAATGCCCATCTTGTGTCTCAATGTTAATCTGTCATGTATGGCTAGCAATTGAATGGAAAAGGGAGTAGGTAAGACATCCCTTCCATAACCTTTGGATGAGGACCGAGAACAAAACTTTATAAAAATTATTTAAATAAAGAATTGTTTTGAGGGTAATGAAGAGGGAAGGAGGGAGATTTCAGAGAGCGGATGATCAGGTAGGATTTCAGAAGGATTATAGATTGAATCATCTAATTATAACAGTTAATCACATTGGTGTAGATAGGAGGTACATGTTCTCCTTAATCCGATTCACCATAATGAGCTGTGATTGAGAGTTGGAACTGATTGAACGGTATATAAGGATTGAATTGGACATCAGACCGTTATTTCATCTATAGTTTCATTACACACTAGGTATTCTCTATAAGGTCATTTTGAAAATCTGTTTGTCTTACAAGTATGCTTGTACCTTCAACCACACTATTGAACTTCCTGTATTCTTCCTCCTCCATATGTGTTACAGAA